GCCGCGGGGCGAGCGGCGGCCCGGCCTCGGCGCTCCGAGGGCGGCGGAGGTGAGAAGGCGGCGCGGCAGGGTGGCTGCCGCTGGGCTCGGGCTCCGGGCTCCGATCTCCGGGCTCCGCTCTCCGATCTCCGGGCTGCGCTCTCCGCTCTCGGATCTCCGGTCTCCGGGCTGCGCTCTGCGCTCTCCGGTCTCCGGACTCGGGGCTCCGGGCTCCGGCGACCCCGCAGGGCGCGCGCACGGCTGTCGCGGGCCGGGACACCGCTCGCCCCGCCGCCGCCGGGCTCCCCATTGTCACGGGGCGTAGGAGCGGGTCCGCGCGCCCGCGGGGTCGGGATCCGGGGGTGGGGACGGAGCCGACCGCGGGCGGCGGGGCACAGGTGGGAGCCGGGTACACGCCCCGCGGGGCTTGGAACTGGGGGCCGGAGTGGAACCGACCGCGGGCGGCGAGTGGGAGCAGATGTAGGATCGGGTCCACGCGCCCCGCGGGGCTAAAGGGATCGGGGGTCGGCATGGAGCCGACCGCGGGCTGCCGGGTGGGGAGGCGGGTGGGAGCCGGGTCCACACCTCGCGGGGTGATGGGTCGGGATGGGGTCGCGGGTCGGGATCGGGGTCGGGATCCGGCGCTGAGTGCTCCCCCTGGCCCGCAGGTGCTTCCCGGAGCCATGGTGATCATGTCCGAGTTCAGCGCGGTCCCCGCGGGCTCGGGCCAGGGCCAGCAGAAGCCCCTGCGGGTGGGCTTCTACGACATCGAGCGGACCCTGGGCAAGGGCAATTTCGCGGTGGTGAAGCTGGCCCGGCACCGAGTCACCAAAACCCAGGTGAGTGGGGCGGCGGGACCGGGATCCGAGCGCGCGCGGCGACCCGATCCGTCCTGGGGGGACCCCCCTGGGATGGACCCCCCCGGGGGCAGCCGGTTGAATCCCTGCCTGTAATGTCTAAACGCTGACAGTTTTTAGTTTGGTAAAGGAAAAAAAATGCTTTATACAGTATTATGATTCTGCATAACTTGTACAAATAGTAAGGGACAGCAAAGAGGATAATGACCAAATAATCCGAGAGGGCAGTGCTCTGGGGTGCAGAGCTAAAACCCTGTAAAGGAAGCCTGCAAAGACTTAAGACATTTATTTAACTTGGACTATTTTAAGTAATATTAACAGTTGCTTTGGTTATTTTCCCCCCCAACTTTTTGTGACCTTTTGGGGACATAAAGTGTTTTAGAAATTAGCCTGCAAAAAATGAAATGTGTAAGTCAGCTTAAGTGAGAGGGTTTTTTTAAACAAAATGTCCTTTTTCTTTTAAAAATCTGTAGGTTGCAATAAAAATAATCGATAAAACACGATTAGATTCAAGCAATTTGGAGAAGATATATCGTGAGGTTCAGATCATGAAGCTTCTGAATCATCCTCATATCATAAAGCTTTATCAGGTAAGGGCTCAAGTTTGCTTTTCACTGGTATTTTTGGCAAGTACGTTATTTTTTATTTTCAACAACATAAGTCTGCAGTATCTGAAGGTTGCCCCTCTCTTTGGGTGTATGTAGGGGTCAGGGAGTTGGTTGTATAAGGTAGATAAATTGATTTTTGTAAGCTGTGCAGATGTATTTACAATTATTTTCTTGCTTTTGGATCAAATTGAGATTTGCCTCATTAAAATTTTATTGAGTATCGTAATTCGTTCCAGTTTTAAATGCGTAGAGGTCGGTTGTTACGTTTACTTTACTGGGAAAACAAAGGACCAGATCTGTGTATTGCCACAAGTCAATCCTTTAGTGTAGAAGGACAAATTTAAGTAAAACTAGATACTTCCGCCTTGGAGATAATTATTAAACTTTAAAACCAGCTGCTCTTACCAGTTTTCGTGAAGTTATCTTTGCAAAGGCAACAGAGAGCGTTTGTTTTTCCCATTTAAACTCTTCCATCAAAAATGGAGAGATGAAAACACTTTTGCCACGGTGAGAGCAGGGACCTTGTCATCTAATCCACGTTAAGAACAGGCCCCACCCTGTCTGACTGTTGGTTTGTTTTGTGACTTTATTTTTGTTCTCCTGTTGAAATTAATAAAGTATACCTTTGGAAGATAAGTGCTGTTTTAATTAGGAGAGCCAGGCAATTTCTCACTTAGCCGACCACTCTGCAAAGATGAGGTCAAGTCTACTGCCGAAGAATAAATTCTCTGCAAATGCTCAATATTTCATCTAAGTGTGTTGGATATAATTTCCTTTGAGTGATTCTCATGAAACCCTGTGCTCTGAGATGAATACGGGACGGTGTGTGTGTTTGTGCAGTTGGCAAGGCTAGGTGTACAGTGTGGTAGGAGAGAGGATAGTAATTGAAAATTCCCCCACAGAAGGTTCTTCGACTCGGTTAACATGAAGATATAGAGTCACTGGGGCTCATGTTTCCCCGAAGGTCCCTGTACTCAGCCGCAGAGCTCACGTTAGGCACACTCTGGTTCGTGTTTTGTTTCTCTTGTCATTTTTGAGTTGTGCCGCCTTGATAAGAAGTTTCCTCCACGATTGCTGATGTCAGTGCCTGAGAAATGTGCCCGGCCTGTTTCCGAAGGAGTGGGCTGATGGTGTGTTTTTGACTTTGCTGGAAGGATGAGCCAGAGCATACCTTCTTTGTCTTCCTGTTCCTCCGCCGGCTCACTGTGTGGAGTCGCCCAGTTAGCAGACGCCATGCCGTGTGGTCCAAGTTAGAGGTCTTTTCTGGGGGTGAATGTTCTCCCTGGTCTATGTGCCTCTTTAACTGTTACTCTGTTAACCAGAGAGGATAGGTTTCAGTGGGATAGCAACAATTGTTATGACTCTGCTTTTGACACTAGTGGCCAATTTTCATCCAGCTGGCCCAGGCCTAGAACCTTGGTGAGCCTCTTCACTCTTTCCTTAAAACACATTTACTCTTAATTCTTTCTCCGTCCCTTAATTTTAATGGAGGAAAGGGATAAACAGTGGTCTTCTTTCTTATCACTGTACCACACACATCGAGGCCAAGGGCAGTTAAAATTCTAGCTAAACTGCATTGTGTTTACTTTTCTCGTTAGATTCATGGCTCAAAGCAGTTGTCTTTAAGTCTCTTTTTTGAGGAATAACTATATTTTGAACCCTGAAGAAGTCTTTTTCTGCAAGAATGTATTCTCTCTCTGTCTCCCTCCAAAATATTTTAAAATACTCGGATGTGAGTTTGTTTTCCTTCTTTTAGTACCAAAGATTTGAGTTTTACCTGTTTCTTAATTAGTTATGTTTTAAACTCTTTTAAAAATTTTTTTCAAAGTAAAATAAAATTCTCGATCTGTAAGTGAACCTTGAGGGTGTATTTGATGTTGGCTGTTGCTATTGACACATGCTGAGTAGTTTGCTGTACAAAGAGCAGTCTCTTGTGGCTTCCCTGGCAAGGCGGCTTCTCGCAAGGCCTAATTCATCACATCAACAATGCAAGTGGGAAGGGGGTATTTGTTATCTTTTATTGGGCTTGTGCTGGCTGTTGTCTTGAATAATCTGTTGCCTGCTAGGCTTCTAGAGGAAAGCCCTAGCAGAATTCTAGCAACCTCTTACTTCTGTAGCCTCCAGAGTCCTCCAAGTGGGTGAGGCTAGCTGATATAAAAATACGATGGAGGAGAGTTCTAATACACGTAGACCTTTTTTGAAAGCAAAGATGTAAAGGCAGGTTAGTGAGGAATTCCCCTCTGATTTTTTAAAAATTCCTTTTCCGAATAGGAATCCCCTTATTGGTTTCTTTCTTGCAGAAGTTTTTCTTTCCTTTTTTAAAATCACGAATGCACTCATCCTGGAGAAGTTAAAAATTTACTGGGGTTCAAGTGGATCATTTATGCCATTGGTATGTTCCCTTTTTGTGTGGTTAAACTTTAGGTCTTTATTTTTTTAGGTTATGGAAACAAAGGATATGCTTTACATCGTCACTGAATTTGCAAAAAATGGAGAGATGTTTGGTAAGCCATGCTTTTTAAATATCTATTGAAAAGAAATGGCACTAACTTGTCAGAAATTGCTCCGATATTTGGGTCTACCCGTCTTAAAATTCTACGGCATTCTTCAGTCGTGCCCCAGACGGTGGCCAGACTTCTGGAGTTGGGGGCTATAGTCTTGTGTTGTTACTCCTTAGATTACTTGACTTCCAATGGCCACTTAAGTGAGAGTGAAGCCCGGAAGAAGTTCTGGCAGATTCTGTCAGCCGTGGAGTACTGCCACAGCCACCATATAGTCCACCGGGACCTCAAGACTGAGAACCTGCTGCTGGACGGCAACATGGACATCAAGCTGGCAGGCAAGAGGGCCTGCCCAGGAGGGTCCCCAAGCCCAGAAGCGCCATCCTGTGGGAGGGGCGCGTGCAGCGTGCACACAGCCCCGAACCACGGCCCCTGCCGTTTCCACTGTAACTTCATCGTCTGTGTCTTTGTCTCTCAGATTTCGGATTTGGGAATTTCTACAAGTCAGGAGAGCCTCTGTCCACGTGGTGTGGGAGCCCCCCATACGCAGCCCCAGAGGTCTTCGAGGGGAAGGAATATGAAGGGCCGCAGCTGGACATCTGGGTAGGAGCCCGAGTGCGCGGCGCGTCAGATGCTGTTAGCTAGTTAACAGTATTAACCAGGGGCGGGGAGTGTCAGATGCATGTAGCTAGTTAACAGCGTTAACCCTGGCGGGGAGTGTCACGTGCGGGCAGCTGGTTAACAGCGTTAACCCGGGCGGGGACTGTCACGTGCGGGCAGCTGGTTAACAGCGTTAACCCGGGCGGGGAGTGTCACGTGCGGGCAGCTGGTTAACAGTGTTAACCCGGGCGGGGAGTGTCACGTGCGGGCAGCTGGTTAACAGTGTTACCCGGGGCGGGGTGTGTCAAGTGCCGGCAGCTGGTTAACAGCGTTACCTGGGGCCGGGAGTGTCAGGTGCTGGTAGCTAGTTAACAGCGTTACCCCGGGGCGGGTAGTGCTGACGCTGACTGGCGCTGTCTGTCCTCCGCAGAGCCTTGGTGTCGTGCTCTATGTGCTCGTCTGCGGGTCTCTGCCCTTCGATGGGCCCAGCCTGCCGGCTCTGCGGCAGCGGGTGCTGGAGGGCCGGTTCCGCATCCCCTTCTTCATGTCCCGAGGTGGGTGACTGCCTCGGGAACTGTTGGGTAACCCGGGTGAGGGTTTTGGAGGAGGAGTTTGTTTCCTGAAATGCCGGCTGGCTGTCTTCTGAGGCTGCCGTGGGGCCTGTGAGTCAGCCCCTCTTACGGGGGATGTGTACTAGACGCCTGCCAGAGAAACCCAACCCACTGGGAGTGTATTCAGTGCCCTACTTAGAGGACGGGCAGGTGCCTTTGCCGTGCAGGCCTGTCGCTGGAGTCCCCACTAGTGCCAGCCCTCAGGGCCGTCCCCGAGTGTCACCCACTCCACACGTGCTTTTCTCTTCTATTCAGTAAAAATGTTTCGCCCGCTGCCTACTACTGTGTGTGGTCACAGCAGAACGGGGAGTCTAAGTGGTTCTCTGTCTGGGGGACATAGAGGGACTGTGCCCACCCCCCTGGAGGCCCGATCCCTCTGTTGGTGGTTTTCCTTGGTGCCAGGTCTGAGCCGATGGCGCAGGCCACTGCTCCTGGCCCCGGTGTTCTTAGGACGGTCACTTGTTTATTTGCCTACAAGGAGGGGAACCTTGCCCCTGGGAGGGCTGCTGCGGGAACGGGTGGGCGGTGGGAACGTGCTCAGGGGCCGGCCGCACAGGGCTCAGTGCGCTCCCTTGACCCCCAGACTGTGAGACGCTGATCCGCCGCATGCTGGTGGTGGACCCCACGAAGCGCATCACCGTTGCCCAGATCCGGCAGCACAGGTGGATGCAGGCCGACCCCTCCCTGCTGCAGCAGGCCTGCCCGGCCTTCTCCGCGCACAGCTACAACTCCAACCTGGGCGACTACGACGAGCAGGTGCTGGGCATCATGCAGACCCTCGGCGTGGACCGGCAGAGGACCGTGGAGGTGAGCGCCGCCCGGCCCTGACCCGCGGTTGGCTCTGACTGTGGACGGGAGAGGCTGTCTTTCTGAGGGAGCGGCCCTACTGGGAAGAGCAGGCACTGGCCAGTAGAGTTAAAATGGGAACGTGGGCTAATTTAAGGGCCATATCTTCCACTCCTCTGAGGGATATTCTCGGCCACCCAAGAATAACCCCAGAACGGGCCGATGAGGACCGTCCCGAGGCCCCGCCTGCCGTCTGAGCTCTGCTTCTCTCTGCCGGCCTCGCTCTGACCCCCCTTCTCTCTGCCTCTCCCAGTCGCTGCAGAACAGCAGCTATAACCACTTTGCTGCCATTTATTACCTCCTCCTGGAGCGGCTGAAGGAATATCGGAACACCCAGCCGTCGGCCCGGCCCGGCCCAGCCAGGCAAGCGAGACCCAGAAGCTCGGACCTCAGCGGTTTTGAGGTGAGGGAGGGATCTCCTTCTGAAGCCTTGCCCCTCTCTCTGCCTTTGATTGTGTCCCCTGTGTTGTGGATCCCTGTTCAGACATGCCTGGGAGCAAGACGCAGGCTGAGCTCGCTGACCCCCAGGTCACGTCCTTCTGCCCACTAGGCATTAGGGGGTTCCCCTGTGAGCCTCAGACCACAGGCTGTGTGGAGAAGAGGGGTCGGGGCCTGCCTGGTGGCCACCTGTTCCCTAACTGTCCCTGGTGCCGGTCTCTTGGCTCCTCCTCCTGGTCACCCCACACAGCATGGCCTTGGAGAGGAGGGCTTGAGTGTCCTGAGCCCGGTCAGCTAGCGGCTGATGTCTCTCAGCGCCAGAGCAAAGGTGGCACGGTCTTTCTTGTGACGCTGCTCACAGTCGTCCCCAGGGCCACCTCCCTGATGGTGTCTGTCCTCCTCTGCCGGCCCCCAGGTGCCTCAGGAAGGCCTCCCCAGTGATGCTTTCCGGTCCGCCCTGCTGTGCCCGCAGCCCCAGACGCTGGGGCAGTCCGTCCTGCAGGCTGAAATGGACTGTGACCTCCACAGCTCGCTCCAGGTGTGTGAGCACCTGCGCTGGGCACGTATGGGGTAGGGGCTCATCTTGTTCCCAGTGGCGGGGGTGACCCCCAAGCCCGGGTCTCACAGAGCCCCAGGGGTCACTGGTTTGTGTCCATCCCTCGCAGCCCTTGTTCTTCCCCATGGATGCCAACTGCAATGGCGTGGTCCGGCCTCGCTCCATCTCCCCCAGCAGCCTGCTGGACACGACCATCAGCGAGGAGGTCAGGCAGGGCCAGGGCCTGGAGGAGGAGCAGGAGGCACAGGCACCCCTGCCTGGCACCTCCGGCCGGAGGCACACACTGGCCGAGGTCTCCACCTGCTTTTCCCCGGGCACCCCTCCGTGTAAGTATCCATGTGGTCGTGGATCACAGCCCAGTGGGCGGGGCTCTGACAGGTACCTTTTTGCTGGGCAGCCTCTTCTGATGGCAGTTCTCTGGACTTGCCATTTGTTTAACCCTGGAGGCCATGTGGATCACACTTAGACACTATGTGGTCGTTGGTGGCGGGGACAGCGTGGGGTTTAGCTGACCCCAGGTGCCTGGAGGGTAGGTCCTTGGCCCAGGCCCCTCTGTGTCACGGGTCCACGCTCCCCCGTGGCGGCCGGCTGTCGAGGCTCCCTGGACTCTGGTCGCCTCTGACCGTCATAGGCTCCCTCTACACAGGGTTGAGGGTGGAGGTGGAGAGGCCAGGACGGCTGTGTGCCCCTGTCAGCGGGCTGTGCATGGGCTGCCCGAGGGCCTGGGGGATGCCGCAGTGGGCACAGAGAAGGCGTCTGAGCCTGTTGCTCTCCTGGAGCCGTCGGCACCTTTCCTTACAATGACAGCTGTCAGGTGCCAGTGGGGTGCGTCTGGCCTTGGGGAGCATGAGGGCTCCCCCTCAGGAGCGCCATGTTCCTTCTGCAGGCATAGTCATCTCCTCCTCTGTGGCGAGTCCTTCAGAAGGCACCAGCTCTGACAGCTGTCTGACCTCAGCGGGTGACGGCCCAGCAGGGCTCAGTGGATACCTGGCCGCTCAGGGGCTGGTGGGCACCTGCTCCCCGCTCAGACTGGCCTCGCCCCTCCTGGGCACCCAGTCCGCCACCCCAGTGCTCCAGGCCCAGGGGGCCCTGGGAGGAGCTGCCCTGCTCCCTGTCAGCTTCCAGGAAGGCCGAAGGGCGTCGGACACCTCGCTCACTCAAGGTGACTTCCCCTTTCACGCTGACTTCCACCTTCCCCCGGAGACCATGTGTGCTCTGGAAGGGTGTCACCTTGTCCTTGATGGCAGATAGCGTTCCCGCATTCTCCAGCCGGGCCTGGGCGGAGCAGCTGAAGGTGCTGTTTGGGCTCTGTCTGTCCTGGTCTTCTGGGATGAACTCACCCAGCCTCTAGGGGCTGGTCCTATAAGCCTGAGGACACCTGGATGGGGGGCAGCAGCTCCTGACCTGGGGGAGGGATGGGTCAGGGAGGGACCCACCACAGGGGCAGCCCACAACTGGCCATCTGGGCTCCGTCCAAGCCGCCCAGGGCTTGGGGGGCCCTGAGCCCCCTCCCGAGTCCCGCAGCCGTGCTCACGGCCTCCTTCCACGGAGGATCTTGGTCTGGGGAGGAGTGGGTTCTGGGCTGGGGGACGGGTCTGTAGACCATCTTGATTTTGCCTCCCCCCAGGGCTAAAAGCCTTCCGGCAGCAGCTGAGGAAGAACGCGAGGACCAAAGGGTTTCTGGGGCTGAATAAGATCAAGGGGCTGGCTCGCCAGGTGTGCCAGCCCTCCTCCTCGAGCCGGGCCACCAGGGGCGGCCTGAGCACCTTCCAGCTGCCCCCACAGAGCCCGGGTCTGCACAGTGGTGGGCCCAGCGGCCGGGAGGGCAGGAGCCTGCTGGAGGAGGTGCTGCACCAGCAGAGGTATGGCCACTTTGCCCAGGTCCCCGTGACCTTGCTGGGACTCAGGGACACTGGGATTTTCTCAAGTAACCTTATCTCTTAAGCTCCCTCCCTGCTCCGTGTAATCACATGAGCTCACCTCCCTGCCCCCAAGTGTGGGGAGATCTGTGAGGCGGAGGGCCTTGTTCCCTGTAGATGGCGGCGGAGGTGGGGAGCAGTCAGGTTTTGTCACTTTGAAGCCCGTAAGTGGGGGATAAGGGGGCAGTGAATAAAATTGTCATGTCTGGTTGGCGCCTCTGAGCTGCTACAGAGGCGAGAGGGAGACTGGAAATGTCAGGAGTTGCTCAGAGGGTTAGTCACGCACAGCATTGCGTGCTCTGAGCAGCTCCAGCCAGCAGAGCCGTGGGGTGGGCCCTTCATCTGAGAGCCTCTGAGCCTGGCCGGACGGTGGGGCCTGCTGGGAGGAGCAGCCACAGAGCCGCAGTGACCTGTTCTCCCTCCTGTTCCCTGTGTCCCGCCAGGTTGCTCCAGTTACAGCACCACCCGGCAGCCCCACCCAGCTGCCAGCAGGCCCCCCAGCCGCCCCCGGCCCCACTGGTCCTTGCCCCCTGTGACGGCGCCCTCCTTGTGTCCGGACTCCAGAAGGGACTGGGACTGGGGCCCGTCCCGCTGCTGCCTCCCCACCTCCTGCAGGCCGGGGCCTCCCCGGTGGCATCAGCAGCCCAGCTCCTGGACGCCCACCTGCGCATCAGCACCGCCACGGCCCCCCGCCCTGCCGCCACGCCCCCGCAGCCACACTTCGCCATGCTGGCGCCGAGGTTTGAGCCCATGGGGCTGCCGCAGGGAGACTGTGAGATGGAGGACCTGACCTCCGGCCAGCTGGGCACGTTCGTCCTGGTGCAGTGAGGGCCACGGCCCGCCGCCCATCCCTGGCACGGGCCGACTGACTCTTCGAAGCAATAATTTCAGAGTATGTGAAGACGTTTCCGGACTCAAAGCCAATAACTTTCTAGAAGCAAAACAAGCAATACGTTTGGTGTTTTGGCTTTTTAGTTATTTTTTGTTTTATTTTATTTTTTTGCACTGAGCAACTGCAACTTGAACAGGGACTGGAAACTTTCTGGAGAAAAATAATAATTGAGGGACGCGTCATTGGGGTGGGTGGAGGGGAAGGGGGAAGGAGGGCAGCAGGATGAGGGACGACTGGGCTGGGCTCGCCAGGCCAGCGCCACTTTGGATCGGGTGGCCGTTGGAGGGGACCGGCGGCTCCCTCACCCACGGACAGGTTGGAGGTCACGGAGGGGATTGCCTTAGACGAGGAAACCGGTGTGAGCCACGTCCGTCGAAATGACTGGGCACGTCTCCATCCACGTGTGCGTGCATGTGTGTGTATGTTGACTAGTACCTTGTTTTTTAGTTAACAATCCTCTACTTCCTGAAACATTTATGCTTCAAATGAAAACTGTGAACTTTCCACTTTATGGATTAGATTTGAAAAAGCTCTAACGGCCAGCCCAGGAGACGATAATCTACAAATTCTTAGAATTCTTTCCCCTGAAATCAGACCCCAGAGGATGGTTTTTTCTTATTCTAGATGAGAAGTTTTATAAACCGCTTGAGGGTCGGTTTTCCAGGATTCTCTGGAGGAGCCACGAGGAAGAACCTAAAGGGGGTGGGGTGACTGTGAGGTGGGGCTTCTGTCCAGGGTCGCTTGGCGTAGAGCCCCAGGGTACCTTCGAGGTTTCTTCCTGCTGCACATCTTATTTCCGCTGCTAATTAAGTTTTTATGCATTTCATTATCAGGGTCCAAAAAAGAACAACTGGCTCTGGGGGAAAGGTGCAATATGGCGAGGCCGTGACCCTAGCACAGGCACAGGCAGGAAAGGGGTCGTGCGGGTGACTCCGCCTGCCCCTGGCCAGGTCGCCATCAGGTCGTAATCAGTGGACAGCAGCACCGTATCCAGGCCCCAGCATGTTAGGCTTTCGCTCAAGGAAAGTGAAATGAGAGGTCAGGTCAGTGTTGTTCAAGCTTCGTTCCTTTTTTTTAAGCAAATACTGTATATGTATATAAATAGGAGACAAATATACACTACTTATTTTTTATATTTTTTACGACACTTTTCTGTTTCTGGTTTAGATTTCCCTCTGGTAACGTTACAAAGCACGGGCACCAGGTGGGTGTGGAGGGAGACAGGTGCGTCCTTACCTGGCAGGTGACTCCAGGGGTGCCGCGGTCAGTGGGAGGCCTCTCTAGTGAACGCTGCACACGCCCTCCACCCCGGCGTCCCTGTCCCTTTACCACTCAGGTGCCTTCAGCCCACTGGCTGGTATAGCCTACAGTATTAACAGGTAGCGACGACAGGGGAGAGGTGGGCACCTGTAGAAGCCAAAGACAGCCTGAGTTCCTAGAGGCCGGGAGGTGGGCTGGGTGTGCGGAGGCCAGCGCCTGTGTGGCCACATCTGTGCATGTGCCAAGCTCGCCGCTGCCCGTCTTCCCGCCACTGCTGCTGTCCAGTGACTGGGCCAGAGGACTGTCCGTGTGCCTGGCTGCAGAGAAGTCACCAAAGCCTCCTGCTGTCTTGCAAAGGTTTGGGACAGACAGGAGGGAGACTCCGGGCGCCCTGGGGCGGCCAGGCTCTGCCTTCATCTTCCCGGAGGTCACACAATTGATCCCAACACAAAACTGATCCCCCTTTTAAAACTAATTTCTGTTCTAACGCCACAGATCAAAGGCCTCCGAACCGTGACAAGCACTTTACTTTCTCGGTGGTTTTCTTTCTTGTTGCTATAAGTCGTGTTTTTGTCTCTTGTTTCTCAGTGTGTGCGACGTGTGTTGTGTAGGTTTCCTGACTGCGCTGTTCCACAGACTGAGGGCGGTCGCCTGTTTCCAGGCACTGCGTGATCTGATTAAGGTGTATATAGTTTTTTTTTTTTTTTTTACCGTAGCTGAATTATTTTGTTTCTTATGTTCACATGAGAAATGTATGCCAAATGATTAGTGGATGTATGTTTTTTAATTTAATATTTAAATAAAATATTTGGGGAAAAAACCCTTGTCTTCTTCCCTCCATTCATCTCTGTGGGAGCTGCTTCCTTCCAAGCTGCTGCATTAAGAGGCCACCTCCTCCAGGTTCAGTCTTGTTGTGGATCTTAAATAGGAGGTGCTGCCTCCTGCATTCAGCCTGACAGCCACCCAGCCGCAGACCCCAGCGTCGTGGTACTATGTAGTACTCAGCAGGTAGTAGTGACAGGTGGCTCAGCGGTCTGGGCAGGGGAAGCTGCGGCCTGAGGCTTACATTCCAGCGCAGGTGCCCAGGGCCTTGCTGGTTCTCAGACTCCTTCCCCAGGGGGCAGGCTCTGCTAACCCACCCGCCGAACATCTTAACACCCAGGTCTGTTTTCAGCTGGTTCTCCTCTCTCAGGGCACCATTCACTCCTGACTCCTTCCCTCGTAATGTTCTCTGAATCCACTTATAAATCGAGGATTTGGAAGGATCTCACACCCAAACTATTTCCTGGTCTCTTAAGGTGGGTTTTACCAGCTTCTAACAACAAAACTGGTGCAGCTGCTAAAGAACAAAGGATTCTCTTCATTTTGATACCTGGCAAATATTTTTTGGTTAGAAAAAGTTATTTAACCTCTTCACACCCATTAGGATGGTCTTTATCAAAAAAACATAAACTAAGTGTTGGCAAGGATGTGGAGACAATGGGACCCTCGGGCACTGCTTGTGGGAAAGTACAGTGGTGTGACTGCTGTGGGAAACAGTGGGGCAGTTCCTTAAAAAGGTAAACAGGATTACCGTGTCATCCAGCAGTCCCACTGCTGGGTGTCTACCCAAGAGGGGTGCAAGCAGGGACTCAATCAGGTGTTTGCACACCTTCGTTCAATGCAGCACTGTTCACAATAGCCAAGTGGAAGCAACCAAAGTGTCCATCGATGGATGATGGATAAATAAAATGTGGTATATCCATGCAATGGAGTATTATTCAGCCTTAAAAAAGAAGGAAGTGCTGACACCTGCTACAACATGGGTGAACCTTGAGGACATTATGCTGAGTGAAATAAGCCAGACCCCAAAAGACAAATACTGTATGATTCCTCTTACAGGAGGTCCCTCAAGGTGTCAAATTCATAAAGACAGAAAGTAGAATGGGGGGTTTCAGGGGCTGGGGGAGGAGAAATGGGAGTTAGTGTTTAGTGGGGACAGAGTTTCAGTTTGGGAAGATGGAAAGATCTGGAGATGGATGGTGGTGATGGTTCACAACAATGTAAATGTACCTAATGCCACTGAACCGTGCACTTAAAAATGAGTCAGATGGTAGATTTTATGTTATGTGTATTGAACCACAGTGAGAAGAAAACAGATTGTTTCAGGGGGAGATGCCCAGAGATGGCCAGTAGCTTCCTCGTGGACAGCCGGTCTCCAGGGGCGAGGGTTGAGGGCAGTGAGCCAGGGGACAGAGGACAGATGTACAGGATCTGCAAGGAATCCTGTGAACACAGAATAGGCTTCCGCAGCCTTGGGAATGGCAGCGTAGTGAGTGTTGCTTAAACACTGGAGCCCGTGAAGCCTCCAGCCCTCAGACAGCCTGTCTGACCGCCTGTCTCGCAGCCAACGGGGGCTGAGAGGTCGGGGGCGGCGGGGGGGACCTCATGGTCATGGGATAGAGGCCTCCAGCAAACATCTCCTTGTTTTCCGGGGTAGTCTCGGAGGTTTTTGCCGCTCACTTAAGAACAGAGTTTTAACATACATCTCGAGCTGTGGTTCACGGTGACTGAGCTGCAGGCCGGCTTCTGACCAGAAGGCCGGGTCACACCAGGCACCTCCAGGAAGGCTCAGCCACCCCATGGGGACGCCCCCGCGCAGGCCTGGCTCGGGCGTGGCCCGCCAAGCTGGCTCTGTGTGCTTCTGACACCTTTGTCACCTCTGCCTGGGAGAGGGGGCCCGGCTCTGCCACAGAGTTCAGGCTCTGTGGCGTCTACCATTGAAGAAGGGACATTTCAGTTTACTGTTTGGGACGCAGAGTCTCGTAAACTAGGAAGAACTCAAGCAGAAATACGTCTGAGCCTCTTGCTGTATTTGGCTTTCATGTCTGTGTCGTGTCAATAACTTGATGTGCACGTGTCTTGGCTCCCCCACTGGGTGGTCAGCTCCCTGTGGGGACCCCTGTGCCTCCTCCTGCTCCAGCGACACCAACGGCAATCAGGCACGGGCGGCTCCTTGACGCACAGCTGTCAGCTGAGTGAGTCCACGTTCACACGCTCGGTGGTTTCTTCTGAACTTGTGGTGTGCCGTGATTATTAGTGGTATTATTATTGTATAACGCTTAGAATTCTCAGGCTGGAAATTGGAGCCCCACTCAGGGAGCCTCATGGAGACCTGGCTGGATGCTAGACCTCTGTCCTGGGCTTACGGATCTGCTCACGCATCCCTGCCCATCCCTCACACGAAGAGGAGGCCGGCATGGCGGTGGGGTTCGGTGAGGCCGTGCTGTGTTAAGGGATTCTCCCATGGCCCCACCACCTGCCGCTTGCTCTGCCAGAGTTTCTGTACCATTGATGACCCCACCTGCTTGGGAGTTTCACAAAATGTTGACATTGTGGATGTGTCTGTTCCTGTCGGGGTGTGGCAGGGCTGAGCGTGCTTTGGCACCTCGCTTAGCACATGACTGCACATCTGAGCGACGGGCATTCCGGGTTCTCAGATTCTCTCCCTCCCCGGCCCTCTGGCGAGGGTCCTGGGACAGCCCGGAGCGGTGATCGCTGCAGACCAAGCAGCTGCTTGAGTCCTTGCTAGTGCCAGGTGGAGCCCAGCCCAGCATGCCCGGCGCGCAGGGGAGCACAGTGGCCTACGAAGGTGGCCTCCGGTGTCAGACACGCCAGAGTTTCATCCCCGCTCTGGAGCGTTCTAGTCCTGCGACAGCAGACGGCCGTGCTGTTCATGGCTTTCTCATTTTCAACATGGTGCGCACACAACGCAGTCTACGTCTTAGGGTTGTGTGGACACTGTACACACTCATCACCATGAGAACCACTTAGCAGCGGCTC